ACAAAGAAACAATATTACATACCATAAATTCTTGGCCAACTAAAGTGTTTTGTTTGAAAACTATTATATTTTAAATAAAACTAATTACGGTTGATTTAATCTTGAAATGGTGCAACAATTTTATTTTTTTTTAATATGCACCCTAAATTTATATATTTTGTGGATTTAATTTAGGTAAATTTCGACTGATGCAAAAGTCAATTTTCTTTCTCTATTTTTATTAAAAAAACTTACTAAAATAAAATCAAGAATTTCGAATTAGGCAAAATACTATCACATATATCTTTTACTAATTGCAACAAATCAATTATTTATTATAAAAATCGAATTGCATAGTTGGCATGACAATTTTGTAAAAGTCAAAATTCTTTCATTTTTTTTTAAATCTGTTTACCATACAATCAAGAATTTTGAATTAGACAAAACACTATAACATGTATCTTTACCTAACTGTAGCAAATCATGTTTATTAAAAAAAATGGATTACATAAAAATCGGGCCAAATTTCAAATTAAAATTTAAAAATCTTTTATTGTTTGATTACTACTTTCTTTAATTCGAACTTTTTTTTAAACATAAAACAAAGTCATATAATATTAATTTGAAATTCAAAATGAAATCGGATTGTAACATCTTAAAAATTTGGGTTTTGTTTAATTATCTAGAATACAAATATGAAATTGATTGAATACACTTACAAAATAAATAATGATTTCATACACTTACAAAATATCGTATATATTCTGCTAAATAGTTTAGTCGATTTATTTAAGACTATCTACAATCTTAATATAATTTGTGGCGATAGACGATGTACCAAAAGACCAAACAAATAATTTTGTGTACAATGATGTGTTTAATAATATATAACGTTACATTGTGTTTCATTTCAATATATGTATTTTACGTTCTTCCAATCATCCAAATTTAACTGCTTACCTTAATAAAACTAGCTCGTGCATCGCACGGGTACCGCACTAGTAATAGATAAAAATATGAAAAAGAAAAAATTCCTCATACTTTCTCATTAAGCAATAAAATAATACTATAATAGTAATAGGACAAAAATAATGGATACCAAATGTACTGTTGCACGCGCGTGGCCTAACATTTGATCAACAAATTGGAATTCCCACTACATGTCCCACATCGGGTTTCATAGTAAAGTATTGGCTTTATAAATTGGTCAGAATCCCTCTGTAACAAGTGAATTGATAGCGGACCAGTTGGGCCAAGCGGTTCATTACCACTTTTGTCTGGTTTTGACTGGTTGAACTGCCCGCTGACCGAACTTTGACCGGTTTTGCTGATAGTCGGTTTGTTGGAGAGAACCGAACCGGTGAACTGTCCGATTCCCGGTTCAACCGGTCCGACCGGGGATCAGAAGCTGCATTGGTATTATACACAGGTTGTCAGGAGTCGAATCTTTGAAGTTCCTGTACCAAGTCACCCATTTATTGGCAAGTGCCGGTCTGGTTCTCAGAACACTGATAAAAAGTCAAAAATCTCTTATGTTATATAATGAATCTTTCTTTTTTTTCAACGCATAAAAATACTCATAAAAAAGCCCAAACAGACAAATTACACAGACGAGCCCCAAAGCCGGGGAATGAGAGGCTACACACAACCAATGCAACCTAGACGGAATACAAACTAGCAATGCTAGAATACTAGCACACTACCAACACAAAAATAAAAAAAAAACCCCAACAGGGTAATACCAAAAAACACACAAATAAAAAAACCCCAACAGGGTAATATCCGGGTGTAAAAACTCCCAACAGGAGAATAAAGGCTACACTCGGGCCGAACCGGGGCTAAACAGCCCAAACCAAAAACACAAAAAGCACACAACATAAACACCCCAAACACACATATAACAAAATACAGCAAAACAACAACACTAAACGAAAAAACGGAGCCCTTCCCCTACGATCCGGACTACACTCAAACAACGGCGAACAACCGACGCAAGAAAATCTCAAGCCCGACAACTGCTACCGAAACTGCACGAACGCCTATACAGCAGGTTTCCTCAACCCTCGAGACAATCTCGTATCGGCCCATCTCTAACCGAGAGAACCCACGCAGCCACCACGCCAGCCCCACCGAACGAGCCTAACACCACTAACCAAGCTCAATAGGACCCCCTCCCCGCCTAACACCACTAACCGGACAAGGAAAGACGTGATA